AGGGTCGTTTTGAAGGCCATATGAGGGCGTCTTCGAGGCCTCCTGGGCCGACTTGGATTCCTTTGAGGCCTCTTGGGCGGTCTTGGGGTGTTTTTTGGGGGACCTCTGTGGGCCGTCGGAAGGCCGTTTTGAAGCAACGGCAAACATTTTTTAAACGCCGCAGGGCAACTACTTATTTTGGCATCTTCGGGCCTTCCTGGAGGTCATCTTGGAGTCCTCTTGGGACGTGTTGGCAGCCTTTTGGGCCGTCTTGGTGGCCTCTTGGGTCGCCTTGGGCAATCTTGGGGCCATCTTGGAACCATGTTGCGCTCTCGTGGGGCCATCTTACCCGTCTTGGGCGAACTTGGAAGCCACTTTGGGTCACCTTGGCAGTTTTGGAGGAGGCGCTGTGCATATTCTTGGTCGTCTTGGGCACGGTGGCGGGCTGGGCCGAAGGCCACTGTGATAATTTTAAAGAACCCAAGCCTTTCAGGCGTCCAGCACACTACGCACCCCTGTGGCAAGCAACAAGGAGCGGCGGATCTAGTGACCTTCGGCCCAACGGCAATCCACCGTCCCTGGGCTGTGGGCCAGGAGCTTCCTGGATGAATATGAGGGTCTCTTTGGATGCCTCTCAGGGGCCTTTTGGAGGGATCTTGGGTGCGTTTGGGAGGCTTGCAGGGGTCCTCTTGGGGGCCTCTTGGGGGTTTCTTGGGGGCGTCTTGGAGGCCGCTGGGGGCCTCTTGGGGGCGCCTCGGTGGCCTTTGGGGGGCTCTTGGGGCCATCTTGGGAGGAAATGATCGAGATATCAGTTCGTATTCTCTCTCTTGGGCTCTCTTGGGGCCCTCTTGGGGCTCTCTTGGGGGGCCTCATCGGCCGTCGTGTGACGATCTGTGGAGTCCCTTGGGCAGCCTTAGAAGCTGTCAAGACAGAATGGGCGAGTTTGCTCAACATGTGCGCTGTCTTTTGGGAATGAGACGAGGTTTGCCTCTTGGGGCCTTCTCGGCGTTCCTCTTGGAACACTTTTGGGCCGTCTTGCGGACTTTGTGGGCCGTCTTGAAGTCATCTTGGGTCGTCGCGGGGCTACTCTTAACCGTCTCGACGTTCTATTCGACTGTCTTGGCGCTCTGTCTGGGCCCTCTTGGGGCTTGTTGGAGGCTGTGGGGGCCCCGGGGGTGCGTTGACGAGCTCGTGCCACCCCCTTCCCCCGCCCCGTCCCCTTCAAACTGCATGCTGGACCCCAATGGAGGGGAAAAGGCGGAGGGGGGCAGCCAAGGGGGAATCGCGGCGCTAAGGCGAGAGCCGCGCTTTGAAAAGGAACCGTCTTCCGTGTTTGAAACTAATGCGAGCTTTCAGACGGATGCGGGCGGCGCCAATGCGAGAGCCACATTGTGCAAACCATACGCCCTCCATCTTTGAAGTTCTTGCAATGTGCGCGGCGCACAGCCTAGAACCACACTCTGTAAAGGACCCGCTCCCATCTCTAAAGGTGTTGCGAATTTTCAGCTTCGAGATCACAGGTGGTGTGGAAATCTCCGGCGAAATGCCCTGCCCAATCTAACGACACGTTTGGGGGTGCGGTAGGGAGAAGTTGTTTATAAGGGGGAAGGGTGGGACAATAATGGAGGAGGAGGAGGAGGAGGAGGAGGAGGAGGAGGAGAAGGAGGAGGAGGAACACATCGGAGCATATCGGAGAGCGCACCCAGGTGCGACCATAACCGCAGGAGAGAGCCTCACCGCGATCAGGTAGAAGATGGAGGCGTTCGCAGGAGCGCGGATCGGCAAGGGCACCTCGCGCGAGCGCAGCGCCGCCGACCCTGAAATGAAAGTCAGTCCGACGAGCCAGAATCGAAGCCGTCCTGTCACGGGTCTAGCTCGTCGGCTGCTACTACCGCAGAATTGCTGCACGAGGGACTCGCCGAGGAAGAACTCCAACCTCGCCCCCTGCAGCACCACTCGGGCGCCTGCCGCACGCTGCGAGGAAGATGAGGATTTCCCGCGAACGCCCGAGGGCCGCTCTCCTCCGCCTCCCCGTCGGGGGCGTCGTTCGCGGTGGCGATGCCGAGGCTGGGGACGAAGGGAGAGGCGTCCAAGCGGAGGGGCGTGCGCTTGGGCAAGGAGGCGTCGCCCACCTTCATGGCGCGAGCCACATCCGCCGTGGAGTCCAGGCGCACGTCGGGAGCTTCAGGGTGGTGAAGAGCAGCCTGAGGAACAGCTGCGCCCCTGGGGTGCGCCAGCGGGGAGGGGCGAGGCGTCCACGCGCTGGGCCTGCGCGTCCAGCTGCATGCCGACGCTCGGCGTGGTTCCGCGCGAGGTGGGCTCAGCGTCGCCTCTGCCGAGCTTGGGGCTTGCGGAGGCCCACGCTGTATCCGCCGCGGACGCGCGAATCCGCCTGGCGGGACTCGCGGAGCGTGCCACGCGGCGTTCCGGCGGCGGCGGCGGGGGCCAGGGACAGCGCGTCCTTGGGCAAGCAGCACCAGCGCCGGCCTCGCCGCCAGCTTGCGGTCCTTCCAGGAACCAGGTTCGCCGAGAGCCTGCGCGAGGGGCTGGATGGCAGCCTCGCAGGCGGGCGGCTTGGCTTCGTGTCTCGCCGCACGACGGGTGGCGGTGGCGCCGAGCGCGGCGATGTCACGCCACCTGAACTCCGAAGGCCGCCACGCTCTCGAGCGCCCCCCCGTCGCCATTCCCGCTGAGCCCAAAGCCCCGCCTCCCCTTCCCTCACGCCCTCCGCACTGCCCCGTGAATTTGAGGTCGCAGGGTACGCCGAGGAAGAGTCCAGGAGCAGGGGGCCCACAGAAAAGCCTGAGCCAAAATGGCTACGGAGGGGGAGAAGGAACAGGAGGAGGAGGAGGAGGAGGAGGAGGAGGAGGAGGAGGGGGAGGACCAGTGTAAACCCAAGAATCATCAACAATGTTGGGATAATCCCTCCCTCCAAGCTCCCTCTTCACAGGCCCCTACAACGGTTCATTTCCATTGAGGGAACAGCCTCGTTTGAAGACAACCGTTTGAAGACCTTGAAGCATGCCAAAAGAATATTCTAGGGATTTTCACGCCACGGGTGAACTTGACTGCTGCGTCCTGACGGTCTGGAATCGCACCAAACAGTTTTGGGACTTCAACACCGCGAATCAACATAACGGTTGCACCCGCATAATCCTGAATCTTTCTAGAGCAAACCTTTTCTGGTATGGTGGCCATGTGAATAGTTGAAACGTGTGCTAAATTTTGGAACGAATGTGCGCGGCGCTACGGCGAGAACCACATTATGAAAAGGAGCCGCCCTCAATCCGTGAAGTTCTTGCATATGTATCAAACGGCTGTGCGCGACGCTAAGGCGAGAGCCACATTTCGAAAACCACCCGCCCTCAACATTTGAAGGTCTGACAGATTTTGAAAACGAATGTGCGCGGTGCTATGGCGAGAGCCACAGTTTGAAAAGGGACCGCCCTCAATCCGTGAAGCTTTGCACATGTTGTAAACGAATGTGCGCGTCGCTAAAGCGAGAGCCACATGTTGAAAACCATCCGCCCTCAACCCACGAAGCTCTTGACATGTTTAATGCGACTGTGCGCGTCGCTAAGGCGAAAACCACATCTTGAAAACAAGCCGCCCTCAATCCGTGAAGCTCTTGCACATTTCGAAAACGAATGTGCGCGGCGGAAAGAGGAGAGCCGCACTTGGAAAAGGAACCGCCCTCAATCTTTGAAGGTCTTGCAACTTTCGAGAACGAATGCGCGCGAAGCTAAGGCGAGTGCCACATGTTGAAAACCACCTGCCCTCAATCCGTGAAACTCTTGCACATGTTTAAAGCGACTGTGCGCGGCGCTATGGCGAGAGCCGCATTTTGAAAACGACCCGCCCTCCATCTGTGAAGCTGTTGTCAATTTTCAAGCCTCAGAATCATAATTGGTGAGGACGTCTCAGGCGAAACGCCCGGCCCGCCCTGAAAACTGGCGTCGGGGTGCGACAGGGAGAAGTTGTTTATAATGAGAAGGAATGGAGGATAAGAAGGAGGAAGAGGAGGAGGAGGAGGAGGAGGAGGAGGAGGAGGAGGAGGAGGAGGAGGGAGAGAGGAGGAGGAGGAGGAGGAGGAGGAGGAGGAGGAGGCGGAGGCGCAGGATGAGGAGGAGCAGGAGGAGGAGGAGGAGGAGGAGGAGGAGGACGAGGAGGAGGAGGAGGACGACGACGACGGCGACGACGACGCCGACGGCGACGCCGAGGCCGTGGGTGCCAAGCTGCTCGTGCGCTCGCCGGGCCCGCCGCCCGCCGCGGCGGCCTCGCTGCCGGCGGCCGCGCCGCCGGCCACGCTGCCGCTCCCCGCAGGCCCCAGCCGCCGCTGTCAAAGTCGGCGGCGGCGGCGGCCCTGCCCCCGCATGGAATGGGGGAAAGGAGGGAGGGAGTGAGAAGGGAGGAGGGTGGGAAAGGAGGGAGGGAGGGAAAAAGAGGGAGCAGGAGGAGGTGGAGCAGGGGGTGGAGGAGAAGGAGGAAGAGGGAGGGAGGAGGGAGGGGGAGGGGGTTGGTGATGATGATGATGATGATGATGATGATGATGATGATGATGATGATGATGATGATGGTGGTGATGGTGATGGTGATGGTGATGGTGATGGTGATGGTGATGGTGATGGTGATGGTGATGATCATGATCGTGATCGTGATCATGATGATGATGATGATGATGATGATGATGATGATGGTGGTGATGGTGATGGTGATGGTGATGGTGATGGTGATGGTGATGGTGATGATCATGATCGTGATCGTGATCGTGATGGTGATGGTGATGGTGATGATGCTGCTGATGATGATCATGATGATGACGACGACGACGACGATGATGATGCTGATGATGATGATGATGATGATGATGATGATGATGATGATGATGATGATGATGATGATGATGATGATGATGATGAGAGTGCGGGCACAGTAATGAGCTAGCTGTTGCACAGTTGTGTCGTTTACGATCGTTTACCTCTTGCCATTAAGGGTCAAGCTGCTCAGGAGCTGCCCGGCCGATGGTTCCGCGCGGCGGCGCCGGCGCGGCCCGGACGGTGCTGGTGCTGGAGCTGGCGCAGGTCGTGGGGGATCTGTGGGCGCCGGCGGTGCCACCCTCGCCCCCGCCCCCGCCGCCTCCGCCGCCTCCGCCGGCGGCTTCGGCGGACAGCGGCCCGAAGGGGTCGCAAGCGTGGGCGCTTGCCCGCTGCGAGGCGGCGCTCGCGGCCTGCGAGAGCTGCCCCGCCACAGACGGGCCCGAGCCCGTGGAGTGGCCGTGGCCCTGGGGGCCGGTGATCGCGCTGCTGGCGACGCAGCTGGTACAGGCGGTCGCGGCCGGGTGCTGGCGCCGTCGACCACGGGCGACCGCGGCGACCATGCGGCAGAGATGCCGCCGCGCCCGGGTCCGTCACGACGGCTGCCCCTGCGAGGCGCGGTGACGGGGTGGTTGCGTGAGGCTCGACCGGGCGAGAGAGTCCGCGTCGCGTATGTGGATGACGACGTGGACCACGAGCGCGTGCTCGTCTGGCCAGTGTCGGAGGCGTTGCGGTACGTGATGTCGCCAGATCGGGATGTCTGGGTCGAGGACCTGACAGCGGCGGATCACGCCACGGGGCCCTGCCGCTGTTGGCCGCTGGCCGGCGAGTGTCGTCGCACCGCGTTGCTGGAGCCGGGCTTCGTGGAAAGGCCGCTTCCGACCGAGGCCGAGATCGGCGGGGCCTTCCACGAGCTGGACTGCGGGGCCAGTGGGGTTAGCGTCATGGGGGCGCTCACGCCTCGGGTTCGCGGGGTCTGGATGCTGCGCGAACCGCTGGGCCAGACGAGGTTCGGCGAGGTGATCGAGCTGACAGAGCTGGATCCCGTCTGGGGCGATCAGGCGCTGTCCAAAGGCTCGGATGGGCACGGCCGTGCGAGGCTCGTGGGCCCGAGCGACGTGGAAGCGCTTGCGGAGGGGCGACGCCAGCTGCTGCGAGACACGCTGGAGCTGCCAGCGATCGCGGTCGCCGGGACCGGCGAGGCCGCGCCCTGGCGCAGCGATCGGGCGCTGGCGTTGCGGGCTCCGTCGCACGCGCCGCCCCCCAAGGCCGCAGGCAGCGACGCGGGGGCTCGACCGGTGGAGGCAGAGGCTTGCCGGGCGGTCGCGGTGCCGAGGCGGCTGCGGCGCCTGAGGACGCGCGGACTCTGTGGATCGACGTGGGCGTTTACGGGGAGCGCTGCAAGACGTGGAGGGAATGTCGCCCGCGAGTCGTCGACCGAGGTGTACGACGACACGCCGCTCGAGGGTCCGTGCGCGGTGTTGCACCTGCTTAAGCACATGGAGCGGTTCGGGGGTGACCCGAGGAACTGGGTTGACAAGTGGTGCTTGGAGGACCGCATCGGGAAGTCGGACCGCACCTTTCACGAGCTGGAGACGCTCGTGGTGGCGCTGATGACCGGCGGAAGCTTCGAGAAGATCTGTCGGCGGGTGCAGCTCATCATCGACGCGCTCGCCGAGCCAGTGCGGCTCCATAGCGGCGGATGGCCTGCCACTTCAACGGGGTGACCACGCCGGCCGACGTGGCGAGCCCAGCGTTGCGCATCTACGGGGTGCGCAGGGCGAAGGAGGAGAACTGCGCGAGCTCCACCCGCGTTCGGGCGCTGACGACCGGCTTCACCACGGGCAGCCGCGAAGAGGAGCAGGCTGGGGATCTGAATGGGGGGCCCCGCAGGGCGCGGCCGCGGGCGCGGCCGAGGAGGCCGTGGCCGGGACCGATACCTCGGCGGAGGCCCAATGAGCAGCGACCCTGGTGGGGAGGGCAGCCCGACCCCTCGCCCGCAGCACACAGGGCACGGAGGCCTTGGGCCCTCCAGCAGCTCGCGGGACATCTTCCCCTTGCCGAATTGGCCGCTCGGACGCCGCGCTGGCGGTGCCGTAGGCCGAGGGCCGCAGGGGCTTCAAGACGAGGCTTTCGCGGCTCTGAACTGGCTCGCTGGATGCGACTTCCTCGCAGGCGAGGCCGTCGCGAGCGGCGTGCCAGCGCACGGGGCCGTGGCCGCCCGCGCCGAGGGGCTCCTGCACAGAATGTAACTGGCGCCAGGTGACGGAACCCACCCCGTCGCCGCAGGATGCCGTCTACGAGTTCGAGCCCGCCAGCAGAAAGCTTGCTCCCTATCGACGTGATGCGGCGTCGCTACCTGAGAGCGTGGCGGGCTGTCGTCTCCCCTCAAAGCTCAGCGACACGCGCCGGCGATTTACGGAGGGCGAGGCCGACGAATGATTCGACGGACGGAAGATAGACTTCAGTTAGTGCATGACAACCCTATCAGGCCTTATGTGGGTCCTGGGCTGGGCCGCAGCCGAAGGCGCTGCGCAGAGTTCATCGCGGGCCTCTGGGCTCGATGGTTGCTGCGCCTCGCCCGAACCTGCCTCGAGGAGACAGGGCTCTTCTTCGTTTGGAAGACAGGTCGGGTGAAGATACGAACGGTACTTGACTGCAGAAAGAGCAATCAGTGGTTTAATAAGGCGCCGCACGTCGAGCTGCCGACGGCCGGGGGGCTGTCAGGCATCGAGGCCGAGGACTTCAAGGGTGGTGCGGTGCCAGTTTACATGGGCGTAGCGGACGTGAAGGACGCGTTCCACGGGCTGATCATGCCAGAGTGGTTATCAAGGTATTTTGGGCAACCGGCCGCGAGGGCCGATGGCATCGGTGTGGTTGGAGAGACGATCGGTGGGGGGCCCGCCCACAAGGGCGTCATGATCGTGCCTATGGCGCGCTCGCTGCCCATAGGGGTCGCTTGCAGCCTGTTTTTCTGCCAGCACATCGGTCAGGAACTGCGTCGCCAGGTGCCTGCGCTGCGCGGCTCCCAGCGCCTTGCGGTGCTTACTCTCAGCAATGGCGTGCGCCAGCTTCGGTACTACGTGTACGTCGACAGCCGGGGGATGATGGGCGACCGTCGACAGACTGTTGAGCTGGCCTTGGCGGAGATGGGGAAGATCTTCGAGAGTTTCGACCTGCTTCTGCACGGTGAGTGAAGAGCTCCGCAGCGACTGTGTTGAGGCGCGTGGAGTGAACTTGGACGGAGAGAGCCAGCGGACGGCGCTGACGAAGCGTCGCTTCTGGCGGGTGATGAGGATGATGATGGTGATGGCGATGGTGATGCTTACGATGATGATGTGGAGTTGGAGGAGTAGAAGGGGGAGGAGGACCAGTGCACCCCCAAGGCCCATCAACGATGTTGCAATACACCCTCCCTCCAAGCTCCCACTTCATAGATCCCTACAGAGATGTATCTTCACTTGTGGAAGGGCCCCGTTGGAAGACAACTGTCTGTGGATCTGTAACCACGCCAAAGCATCTTGGGACTTCACGCGAGAACATTATTCCAGGGATCTGAACACTGCAAATCGACGTGCCTGTCGCGTCCTGGCAGCCCTGAAACGTGCCAAAACACCATGTTTGGGATGCCAGCGATCAGAGTATAGGAAACTGCCGCAAGCTGTTCAAACGAGTGTGGGCGGTGCGACGGCGAGGGTCACGTTTTGGAAGCGACCCGCCTTCCATCCGTGAAGTTCCTGGCGCATTGTTGCGACGAGTGTGCGCGGCGCGAAGACGAGAGCCACATTTTGAAAACGGCCCGCCTTCCATTCGTGATGTTCCTTGCGAACGTTCAGAACGAGTGTGCGCGGTGCGAAGGCGAGAGCCACGTTTTGAACACGACCCGCCTTACATGTGTTAAACCCTTGTAAATGTTCGGTTTCAGGGTCATATTTGGTGAGTAAATCTCAGGCGAAACGCCCAGCCCGCCCTGCCGACAAGTTCCAGGGCTGGACATGTAGGCTTCACTCATAAGGAAAGGGGATTGAGGAGCAGAAAGAAGAAAACGAGCGTGATCAATAGTACTAAAAACAAAAGAACACGATGAGGATTACTTTAGTAAAAAAATACAGACTAGGAGGGAGACGAGTAATAATAGTAAGAATGCGACTAATCCGAAGGCGAATGGGACAAGTAATACGAACATGATACTGCTAATATCAGCAGTAGTACGAATAATCATAATACCAAAATGAAGAATACGAGTATGTATAAGAAGAAGAAGAATGAGACGACTACTAACTACACTATTACGACAGCGAGACAAGGAGTAGCAGGATAAAGAAGAGGAGGAGGAGGAGGAGGTGGAGGGTGCTGCGACCGGCGCTTCGGGGGCAACGTGCCGATCTCGGCGAGCTTTGGGGCCCCGGCGCGGGCTGAAATTCTGGGCGAGCTCTGCCAGCGGATGACGCCGCGTTCGGCCGCGCCGGGGACGGCGCGCCGAGCTCGGAGAGACCTGGGGCCCCGTCGGGGGCCCTCGGGCTGTCGGCCTTCGCCGAGTGCCGATCTCTGCGCGCAGTGCCCCTCCTCCTCCTCCTCCTCCCCCGCTGCTCCTCCTCCTCATCCTCCTCCTGTCGCTACCCTCCTCCCTATCTTCTCCCTCCTCCCTCCTCCTCCTCCTTCCCCCCCTCCTCCTCCTCCTACCTCCTCCTCCTCCTCCTCCTCCTCCTCCTCCTCTCCTCCTCCTCCTCCTCCTCCTCTCTCCTCCTCCTCCTCCTCCTCTCTCCTCCCTCTCTCCTCCCTCTCCTCCCTCCTCCTCCTCCTCCTCTCCTCCTCCTCCTCCCTCCTCCTCCTCCTCCTCCTCCTCCTCCTCCTCCTCCTCCTCCTCCTCCTCCTCCTCCTCCTCCTCCTCCTCCTCCTCCTCCTCCTCCTCCTCCTCCCCTTCCTCCCTATCGCCCCCTCCTCCTCCTCCACCTCCTCATCCTCGGTCGACCACGACAGAATCGGCAGCACCCCACGCCCCACGACCAGCTGGGTTGCAGGTGGGTCGCAAGCGGTCGTGGGTGGGCAAGTGCTTGAACTCTTAACATCGCTGGGTCGTGGACGGGCTGGTGTCGTTTGTTTTCTGGTTCCTCCTCCTCCTCCTCCGACTCCTCCGACTCCGACTCCGACTCCGACTCCGACTCCGACTCCTCCGACTCCTCCGACTCGTCCGAGTGTAGTCGCTTCGGCCATTCAGCGGCCTCGAGCTTCACCTGCGGCATCTGTGGGTGCTTCCGCATGCGGCCAAATATTCTGGCCAAGAACGTTTCACGCCAGCCGTTGAAAGTAGGTATTTTTGGATTCCCAGATCCAAATCTACTTCTGGCGCCTACCTACGTCAAGGATCGACTGGTTTCCTTCTTCTCTCCTCTTCAGGGGGCGGGCGGAAGCTCAATCCACTTCCAACATTTCCCTACTTCGTGTTTCCACCCACTTCTTCCGACTGGCGTGTATCATTTAAGAGATCAGGAGCAGTCTCCCGAAGGTTTCTGATCAACGGACCTGGGCCGACTTCTGCTGTTTACGCGGGAGGGGCGGGCGTGCTCAAGAAGGCGTGCCAGCTCTCCAGCAAGTTGACTGAAATGCAGGCCCAGCTTGTCGGGAGGAGGTTACTTAGTCAGATGCTCGATTGTAGCGTCCCCACGCCCATATCGGCACACCCCCTCAGAAGGATCGTGCACCACAGGGAGCTAAACCTACGGCCCAGGTGTGTGCGTCCGCTGGCCTCTCTGGAGGCTGAAGGAAAAAACAGGGTTAGGTGTCGCTGGGCCAATGTTTCTTTCCCCCGCCAATCCCGTATGTTGTTTTCCGCAGACAGGGCTGCCGGAAGGTGATTTTCGGCACAGCGTCTTCTACCTCCGACCAGTCTCGGCACTGCTGGAGCGTTGGCCACTCGAGCTGCCTCGATACTCCCGTGATGAGACGCCACACGGGCCGTGTTCCAAACGCCCGTGCTGACGTGCTGCGTGTTGGTGCGGCACGTGTAGCCCCACGTTTTGGCGAACGTATCACGTCAGACCTGCGCTTTCAGTCTACGTGTTGAGCCCCGTGTCAACACGCTGCGGGTTGCGTGTTGCGTATCGGGGCAGCTGGGCAGCTAAGCTCACACTATTCTCGGCACTTCTGGGGCGTTGACCACATTTACCGCCCCATCCCGATGACGCCCGCAGGGCCCCCGCCTGGTCAGCCGCCGGCAGGCCCGCCAGCCGGCCCGTCGCCGCGCCCGCCGCCCCCGGCGGGGGCGCCGCCAAAAGGCTACCGCGTCCGCTGTCATCGTCGGCTTCGTCGTCGCCTTCGCCGTCTGCACCGTCTTCGTCGTCTTCGTCGTTTTCGTCGTCTTCGTCTTCGTCTTCCGATTTGATTCGACGTCGGATTGCGATTGGGGCTTCGGTTTCTGAATGTAGGCCTTACCAGCCTGTCGATTCCCGCCGATTAGACTTCTCCCGACTTGGCTACCAATTTCCGCCGATCCTTTTGATTTCGATCGCCGATCCGGCCTGCAGTCGGACCGAGGTATAAAGTCGAGGTCGGCTCGGGGTGGGTACCTTGGTATTCTTCGTGTTTGTTGGATGCTCTTGTGCATGCATCCTGGGGAGGGTACCCTGAGATGTTCTGTTCGTTTTGGCTGGCGGAGGGCCTCATGTTCTTGAGGGGTGTTCTT